AACGAATCACAATGAGCAACCTTGTAAAGTTCAGTAATACTTTGCGGACGCGTGGCAAGGCGAACGAAGGACAACAACAACGAACGAGCGCACAAATTGTATTATGACTAGGCGAACGACAGGGCGTATGAGTAACGCTTATGTACATGCGTATGTTTGTGTATTTCTAAACGTTACGTAAGTATGTATAAGCGTGGCACACATTACTTAAATATATTACCCATTCCCTAGTGATAATGCTATTTTTAGCCTACTCACGACAGCCACTTCTCTTTTATTGGCTTCCGGAATAAAGAGGTATGTGGTCATGTGAAGGGCTACTCACAAAGCGAATGCCATGCACAGGACAATGTGGCACCGCAGCACAATCGTTTCTCACCTGCACAGAAGACAACAATTCACTATTCTGTACAAACACACATACATACATACATATATGCATACAAAGCCTTATGTGCAGACACAAGTTCGTACATACGCTTGCATATATTAATGTGACGAAGTGCAGCGACAAAGCGTATGAATCAAACATCGACACAGATCGACAATCTCAAAACGTTTCCTGCCAGTAGCCACCGCGACGTAGAGCGCAAGCGTCAAGGCGACCGAAATCGTCGAAGCGCTAAGTGAACACCGAAAAYAGTAACGAAGTGTTTTGTAGGAAACAATAACAAAAAACAAAGACACCACAAAATATTAGAGAAACACATAACAGTAGAAAAATAAAACGGGAAAATATATAAACAACTCCAAAGCATGCTGGCGCCAATGAGACTAAGTGCAGCGCACCAACGACGCCGCATCAACGCCCGAACCTATGGGTGGGTTTTAGCCGAGTTCGTTKGTTAACTGCTACTTGCTGTCGGCCGCCGTATGGCCCGTAGTCGCRGTAAGCTATTGGAAAATAAATACGATTAGGAAAAGGCAGCGTTATTCGAAAGGGAAAACGGTAAATGTGCGCGTCGTCATCGTCGGCACGGCGCAAACGAAACAACAACAAATAGTGTGACTGCGCTAACCTCGAATGTGCGGCGGCGACATAGCGGTGTGTGGTGCGGTTATTTAGCTGGGTGGCTGGCTAGCTGGCGKCGTCAATACTGTCGAATGCGCCGATAATGACGGTAATGCTAGAGATTCATAGCCGTGGGGGTGAATACTTGCAAGCAGCAAGYWKCGTGCAGCGCGATAGAGAGGAAGCAAGCAGCCGTGTCACGCGAAACAACGAAAGTTCCGCGCACACTGTTGTTGCTGTTGCTGCTACATCCCCATGTTGTGGTGGCAAAAGCAAAGTTTGTTGGCACTGCGAGCTTAACCGCACACATATACATACATATACATATGTACATATAAATAAGTATTTGAATACAATTGGCGTGCTGCACACATATATAAAACTGCACACAGTGGCGTGCATTGCAATACGAATGTATAACGTTTGCTTTTCTGTAGGGTAGTTTGTGGTACACCCCCAATTGCTGACTCAACGGGTGTGCTGCACGCTAATTAATTAATAATAATGTTCCTATTGAATGCCAATCGAGCATTTTATATGGTTTTATGTCTCTACCAGTTCCCTGCTCAATACTGTCACCTGTTTTGGGTGGCGCGACATATGTCTGTCGATGAAAATTACAAAAACAAATGTTTGTTGTATACCCTAAACTAGGGGTATTAAGTTTGCCACGAAGTTTGTAACACCCAGAAGGAAACCTACTAAATTGATTATAAAAGATCAGCTTGACGAGCTAAGCCAACTCTCGGTGTATCCTTTAGTTTTTGAGATGTCGATCTGAAATTTTGCACACGTCCTTTTCTACTCAAGAAGCTGCCCATTTGTTGGAAACGTCGATATSGGAGCACTATAACATATAGCTGCCATACAAACCATTCGATCAGATTCTAGTTCATGTATGGAAAATTTTTTTATTTGACAATATTTCATCTCGAAACTCCGCAACGATTATTGTCCTAGTTAGAGCCACAATCTCCGACTATATTGTTCAGATCACACCACTATAGCATATAGCTGCCATASAAATTGACCGATCAAAATCAAGATCTTGTATGGCCGTTCCTAAGGCAGCTAAGTCAACGTAGCCACAACGGACCCGAATTGTTTTTCGACAAAGTACTGTCATCTTAACTGAATTCTGCCACTACAACAAMAACCACAAGCYTTGTATAGAAAACTTTTTTATGTGGGAAGATATCTTCACCAAATTTSACATTTATTATTGCCCAAGGAAAGGCTACAATCTCGGAGCAAAATTTTTAGGTCGAAATACGAACCAAAAAATACGGATCAAAATCAAATTTTTATATGCAAATTTTTTTCATTTGTGAAGGGTATTATATGTATGTTGTGTTAATTTTTCATGCTGTTTTGGGTAAGTGAATAGTGAACGCAAGTGAAAGGAGAGTTGAAAGTTTAAAACTTTCTACCATTACAGTACGTATTGTAGACATATAATATGTACAAAGTGTATTAAATGTGTTCCTAAACTACCCATTTCTTGTCAGCATGTCCATTCGGCGATTATGTGCGCCCTTTACAGGAAATAACTCAAGTGAATAAAAGCACATGTTGACCTGATGGGAGATACGTATGTATTTGTACATATTAGAGTAAGCATCCACAATTTTACTTTTCATGGTCAATACAATATACAATATTTTATTGTTTTTGTAAATAAATATAGACAAAAACCACCAGCTTTCTCTCACTTATTGACTGAAAAATTATTTATTCACTTTTATTACATATTATAGTATAAAATATCTACTAACTTGTTCGCACACATACTGGTCTATATAAGAAGGTATCCCTAATGAAGTTTTCTTTTATTGCATTATAGTAAATACATATGTACATACGTGAAGTAATTCATTGAGTGTCTACAATTTTTATCGTTAGTGAAGTAACAATTTTCATACACACACATAGATATATTCACACATGCAAAGCGGGACAATTACTGTCGAAATGGAGTTTAATTACCAGCTATCAGTGCAGTATACCAATAAAAATGTCAATGTGTACAATCACAAAAGGACATTGTTTCCTAGATGACAATATGGTTTTTAAATGCTGTGTGATTATTGCACAAATCACACATTGTGCAGTACGCAGTTATTATTTATATACTAACACATATGCATATGTTTTTTTTTTTTAATTAAATGCGCGATGTCGGTCTGAAGCCTGTGTGGTGATTGGGCAAGATAAAAACGAGGAATTCATCAAGCATTTTTCCACGTGCCACAGAAACCTTGAAAACAGAGCATTGTGTCAAATCACATAGGATATAATAATATCTGATTATTTTAAGTAGATCTACATATTTACTTTCGGTGAACAAATAAAGATAATAGTAATAAACAAAGCAATTTTGTTTTTGAAAAAAATTATTTTATAAACCCGGAACAAACAAGCCTAGTCATACCACGAATTGCAGCTAGCAAATTACTATAGAATTGTCCTGTATGCATTCATTTTCCAACACTTAGTATTTAAACAAAAACAATAACTGTGTTATGTAAGCGGTTCGCCGCCATTACAATTATAATAACGCAGGCTATTTCAATTAAAAGTCTACCCTAATTACCAGCACGCAATCACATGCCGGGCGTGAGCACATAAAATTGAATAAAATATTATAACAAGGAAATATTATTATAAATTAGGTACAAATGTACATGCATGTACATATGAGAGTATTTAAACACATGGATTTACTATTCAAGGAGCTGTCATTATAAACCCAGATAATGATGCTTTTACAATTATAGAAATTGTTTGTTTGATTTTAGGCGCGACCACGTTTTGGTCATTGGCCGACATGAGAACGGTATAAAACACGGAATAAACGCTGTGGTATGATATTACGTGCCGGCTTTTTGTTATTTTCACTTTACACGAAACTTTCTTTTATTATACTAAGAAAAAAAAACAAAAACTGTGAGTTAAGCTGGAAAATAAGGCAGGTCAAATGTGTGTCAATGCCACGCGTTTCCGGTGCATGGGAAATTCGCAAAATTCGCAAATTGTGCCGACTGTCTAAATTCGTGTGTCCTGAGCTGCACCTTAAAAATTGGATATACTTTCGTAAGGCGGAGAGCTGTTGCGGATTAAATATGAAATGATGTCACAACTCACTACTCCAATTGACAGAATGATTTTATCATAACAGGCACGTGAGTTAATTACAACCACAGGTATAAAGAAAAAAATGTTATAAAGCGATTTATAAATCAATTCTAAATTGTTATTAAGTCGAAAAAAGCAATTTTTTTAATTCATATTTATTAAATACTTTATTGAATACTGGGTGCAAATCGAAAAACAAAAATCAAATTAGAAATTTGTAAGTAACAAATTGGGGTGGAAGGCGAAAAACGTAACCAAAACAAATACAAGAAGAATACACCACAGTTGCTATAAGACTTTTTGACATTTCACAGCAGCGCTGCGCTTGGAAATGCCAAATCCACCATAGCAGCGCGATGTGTTGTCAGCTGTTTGATGACAGTCACATGACAGCTTTGGATCGATAAATTTTTCGCTCACGGGTTCGCACAATCATGAAAATTCACTTTTTCAAATGCTTTTAAAGCCAGCTATGCAATATGTTTCTCTATTTCTGTACATAAAATGCATTTAGCAAACATTTACAATCGGACTGTACACCTGCAGATCATTCAAAAGCACTTTTAGTGGACGCACACATGATCCTGCGTTATAAGGCCACCCAAAATCATGTTTTAACCTTCAATACAATGTCGCATATGCATTCATACACTTTATTCGATTGGCAATGCACATTACTACATAATTACGCCTTGATTGCGCTATTAAATCGTACAACCAAGAATTTATAAATGATTCTCGAGTAGCCCACCAAACGACAAAACCATGAATATTCCACAAAACATTTGTTGCTCCCCTCTACATTTCCCTTCCACACTCACACACTCATCTGACTTTAGCACGGGGCACTTACATTTTTTTCGTGTTTCTTTTTATGCGAAGCTGCGAAACCACACTTTAACTGCAACGGAATTTTGCAAAATTAGCCGAAAATTTGTGCGATTCGATGGTGCAAAGAATTTGCGATTGCGTTGGAAACTTTTCACTTACAATTTTCTATTGCCCAAAAATCAATCGACAGCGAACGACGACGGCAACTACACGACGGCCACAGCGACGGCGAGAAGACAGACTTTGATGAAACTCAACACAACGAATATGCGATTAAAACGGAATTAGAGCGAGCGTAAAACGGAATACGGAAGAATTCACGTGATAACATTCTTTAGGAAAATTTCGTTCATGATTTGACAGTTAACAGTTTGGCGTGCGCTGTATTTCAAAGTTTGAGAACTAGGCACGTTAATGGCGCCAAGGCAGGCAGCAAAAGGAAATGTAATGTGACATACAAAAATTAAAAGGGCAACGGATATACAAAGGGAACGCTTTTAGAAATTCACTAAACAAATTATATACGTAAATCTATTAGGATATTTCTGTTGAAGTACACAGCAGAAGTGTTGGCTACTGAAGTTGGACTAATTGTGCTCACCGTTGGTTTCATATCAATTGCCGCCCTGGAAAATCTTTTTTAAAATCATTAAGATTTCTTAATTTAATTTTGAAATTAAGAGATAAAAGCTATTTCGCGAATTCTGTAGTACATACATATATGCAGATATATTTGCCCAATATATAGTATTATACAATTGTTTTTTATAGAATGCAATTTAGCAATTTCCATATGAAAACATTCAGCAACACCATTTCGCGAATAATATCATTGCTACTGTCATGTAAATAAATGTATAATTGTAAAACTGCCGGTTATCATTGCTTACAGCGTCGTGAGTACGATTATATCAAAACATGAACACCCCGCCACACTCCTTTTACGTTCAATACAAATATTTTTATCTTGTCTTTAGTTATGTGAGACCAACTACCATGATGTGGAAATACTATTACGGTAAAAGCTTGAAATAGCGCAATTCAAATTACACTGTATACACTATATGTACACAAATATACATAACCTCAATGTGGGACATTAATTTTCCATTTGCTCCTATATATGCACATAAGTATAGATGTATGTATTCTCGTCGTTGCGTCAAGAATTCGATCGCCTTGTAAATGCAGCGGCAACTTAAAAGCTAAATATTTCTGTAATAGATTGCAAAAAGCAAATATTGCAAATATGTAGCRCACGCAAATAAACATAAAGCTTGATCAGCTGTTATTGAATGCAGTTAACAAGCTGACGCTGTTTATTGTGATGTGCAGAATGTAATATACATATGTATATATTTGTCAAAAGTCTATTCTATAATTGTTATTATTATACATAATTGTTATTTATGTTTATTATTGTTGTTTTTATAAGCATAATAACAACTAAAAGCCGCGTAAAATTAATAAAATAGATTTTATTACAAAATTGTATATCTACATATGTATGTGTTTAAAAGTTGGATTCCTATTTACTCAATAGGGATCTAGTTTTATTCTCGACTTTTTTTCTGTAATAACAAATAAAGCTTATTTTATTATGTTAATTGTAAAGGCTTTTTCTTTTCCATTGAAATTGAAACCGCATAAATCTTATCATTCTAAGAATAAGTATATCCAAGCCTATATTTATCACTTCGSTTAAACGATTTTATATATTTTGTAAAAAATATAATATTATTATTTTTTTGTTTACATTTATTGTAAATTCGTAAATAATTTACAATCGAACATCTCTAATACGAACTTATTTACAACAAAAGAAATAGCTCACATTTTGATTAGAGACTTTTCCATCGAAAATTAGAGTTCTTTTCAGTTASAAGGTGGAAAAAAATGTAATTTTTTTTTCTCATACATTTTGAGGTAATGTGAAAGAAATGTTACGATACAAAGTTCTATATCTTTTTATTACTTTGGCTTATAACAATTTTCAAAAATTAGAATACTTTTGACGGATAATGAGATTAACCATTTTCCCCCTTATAAACACAGAACTCTTTCCTTTTTCTTTCCTTCCTTTACTTTATTTTGTACTACTTGTAAAGGAGCTAGCTTTCCCGCTATATAACATCGTTTATTTTTGTCCCCTTGAGATTCTCTATATGGAAGCTTGATTGTAGCTTCTTACATTAAAATAATAAACATAGAACTCTTTATCGCTTTAACAGCAATACGAAACTACTTTCTGCTTATTGGCGTTTAATTCAAACAACTTAATTCATTGAAAGCACATCACGTTTGTTAAATCGTTTTAAATGGATTTGTTAAACTGTCACTTTGCGAATTACCAGACAAACCGCAAGCTGTCAGTGACATACCTGCAATATTTACAGCTTTAGACGACAAACATACATATGCACATGTATACTCGTACTTACAAATGCATTTACTTAGATGCAAACTTACATACATATGTATGTACATATGKCTACACAACTGTTTGATTATATCCATTTGCCCTTCTTTATTTATGTTCTTTACGTCAAAATAAAGGCATGTTTCAGTTACCGTTAACTAAATTAAAATGCAAATTTAGCGATTTCGTCCATCAACACTCGTAAAACCAGTATAACCTGACAGATCAGCAATGGTGATCATCGTGCAGTTACAAAAAACACAAAAGCAATTGTAAAAACAACAACAAAAATGCAAAAATAAAAACAAAAAGGCAAAAAATGCCACAAACATTGAAGCGAAAAGGTAAGCGAGCGAGCTGAAAACAAACAATTCCCATTGCAGCGCACCAGTTACTGCTGACGGTATGGCACCGCGTTTCCTCGGCCAGTCGTCGAACGGATAGGGGGTCTAAGCACTTCATTTCGCTAACGCTGCGGGTACACATTTGCATTTGGATTTGCGATAAGTTTTCGTTTTCGTTTCGGAGCTGACGAAAGTGCGGGTGCCAGCGGAATCGTCGCACATTTCATTTAAATGCCACAAATATAAATTGTTGGTAAAATTAAACGAAAATTACCAATAAAAAATCGAAAATAAAGAAAAAAGTAAAACAGGCTAGTTGCAATGGTCAAAAAGTGCAATAAAAATAGCAAACAATAACAACTAACAAGCATAAGCCGCGGCAACGGTAGCAAATGTTGCAATATACTATACGTAYATATSTAATAAGTGTATGTATGTATGTAAGTGTACATAAACACCTACATACAAGTTAGTGATTATTTATTGACAAAGCGGCTGCCGACCCTCAACAAGCTGCAAAGTCATTTGGATAATCGGCGTTACTGGCGACTTAGCCCTAAACTGGAGGCGCGGACCGACCCTCAGCAAAGCGACTTCAAACAAAGCTAAGCTTAWGCTATATAAATACATGAATAGTCAATGTACGTATGTCTGTATGTATGCACATTTGCTTATCATCTATCGCAGCGCGGATATCCCGGCTTGAGCGTGCTGCGTTCACTTTTTTTTAGTATTCATGACTTTCGCATTTCGTCTACGCCTGCTGCGGACGCCCTACGCTATCGTTCGAGTGCTCAATTGAAGAACAATTTTTGTGCATATGTAAATATATTTACACATAAAGTGCCTGCCACACATCTGAATACATATGTACATACAATATTTAATTGAAAAAAGTGGAGGAGCACTTTAAAAAACGCCACAAATCAGCAAATTAGTAAAAGCGACGACGACAATCGCACGGAACTAAACAAAAAAAAATTACAAAAAACGGAGGAAAGGCGGAGGCGAACAAGTGGCGCACAAGAGCAGCATAACGTTGAACTTCAAGTCGGAATCTCAACTTAAACTGATAAGACTGACGACTGCGCCGCTCACATTTGACGAATAGCTGTTTAACGACTGCCGCCGTCGCGTACACATTGAGTGGCTATACTTTGTTGTTGTTGCGTACGATACTTGTTGTTGGTACTTTCGTGTGTAGTTGCCGCCGGCACCAACGCCGCCTGCGTTTTTTGTTTTTAGTACGCCATTAGAATTGGAGCGCAGCTCTTSTGTCTCCGATATTTGTGCGCGCAGTTAGTTGGGTTGGTAATAGGGCCACTTCAACGGCACGGCACACCGCTACTGCCACCACCTATTGCGTAGCAAAAAAAAAAACAAAAACAACAAAAAAAAAGTGGAGAAAAACAACAACAAAAGACGAAAACCCTCACTTATCTAGTAATTGAAAAGCATATATAAATCGCTTATGCCCATCAACAGGAGCCATCATTAATTGTTCGCCGCTTATAAAGTGCAAGTGAACGGCGCACGTACGCGGCACAAAGTCAGGAGTTGCGCGACATAATTACAAACGAAAGTAAAAGTGTGAAACGTAGGGAGTGTAAAGCCCCTGTTAGTGTATTTCTTTTTGTGTTTTTGCTTGCGATTGATTAAAGCTTCGCTATAATGTTCTACAACATCCTTTTGCTGTTGCTGGCGTCTTATCRAGCCGCTGTGGCGTTGGAAAAYGGYTTAGCGAGGACACCGCCCATGGGCTGGATGCATTGGGAGCGCTTCCGCTGCATTACCGATTGTCAAAAATATCCGAATGAGTGCATAAGGTGTGTATAAGTGTGTGTAAGCGCGCTCGTGTGTGTGGGGTTGTATGTGTGTTGTATGCGCTAGATGCGCTGGAAAGCTTTGTTTCAATCCAAGTTCAGTGCAAACAAATTGCTCTACTGGTTATTGAACTTTAGAGCAATCAAAATATGAAATTATTTTGCACAAAAAGTATAACAATGCTATAAACAAGTTTTCGGTTTTGGYTGACGCGCTTGCAATAAATTTAGTCAGCAGTTTTGGGGAGAAAATAGAGAACCTACATTCTTGGCGATTGATTAGCATAAAGCGGTGCTCAAAATATGTGAATATATACATATGYACATATATATATTTTTTTCTATAAAATTGAACTTGAATGCGATCGCTCAGTTTGTATGGCAGCTATTTGCTGTAGTGCTTCGATCCAAACAATTTCTTCTGAGATGATATAGTTTCCTTGGATAATAATCCATGCCAAATTTGGTGAGGATATCTTGTCAACTAAAAAATTTTTACATACAAAGGTTTGATTATAATCGGTTATTTTATATGACAGCTATTTCTATAGTGGTCTCATCTGGTCAATATGTTCAGAGTTTAAAACATGGGCTTGGGCAATATTGTATGCCAAATTTCGGGACGAAATCTCGTCAAACAAAAAAGTTTGCCATACAAGTACAACGACTTGA